TATTATTTCTAAAATGGATCTAGCATGAAATCCTAATAGCATTCAAATATTTTGCCATATATATTTTCTTTAGTCTTTTCCATTTAGGTAAAGAGATTGTCTGGTGAACAGTGTGCTAATGAACTGCTGGTGAAGGAATTATTCCTCGAAGATTAATTGATGATGTATTATGCTCTTTATGTTAAAGATTACAAGATTTATGCTCGTGAATTTTAATTATGTCATTTCGGTAACTTATAATCAATTTATATTACTCAAATGTTTATCTTCTCTTTCACTCTTGTAAGTAGAATATTAATATATGTCCTATTTAGTACTGAAAATTTTCTATAAATGAGATTACTTGCAAACTTCATTATCTTAATTTTTATTACTTTCAATTTTTCATTAGAAATTGCCTCACATCATCCATCAGTTTCAAACCACTGAGTTCGTCACCACACATTGGACAATTTTCTTTCTCATCCTCAAGCCTGAAATTAATCGAATATCAATATGATTTCGTTTATATTAAGAAATGAATAACTTTTTGTAGGTTTTTTTTCTTTTTTGATCAACGCAGTTTAGCTACAAATATGGGTGTTATGCAGCATTATAAGAAATTAAGAAAGTCTGGTGGCACTACAAAATAAATCGATCGAAATAATTTAAATGAGTGGAAATTTTTAGTTAAAATTCCAGAACAAATTATACTTGTAATATTTGTGTAATTCATGATATAGTTGAATTTTGTGGGATGGTAGTGTCTATGGATGTCCGAAATTTATAATTTGGGCAGCTAAATTTAATAGGTTTACTTTTCATAAAATGATGAAACTTATTGGTAGAACTTTGGTAATGGGAAGAAAAGCCAAAATATAAGGTCAAAAAGGAATTCTTAGGATTATTCCAATATCTTAACAAATAACGAATACAAAGATTATGGTGGGATTACAGTACGATCACGAGGATAGCAAGATACAGTAGCAGTTGTTTTTGCTAAGGATTTAGTGGGGTAAGATGATGGAAGTTTAGGGTAAATCGACTGTTATATTCAATCGTTCGCTTTAATTAAAAGTTTTACAACAATGTGGCGCATTTCTTCGTGATGTCATAGGTCAATCCACTTGATTCCTATTTAATTCATTCCAAAGCTCTTTGATATCATTTACTAAAACATGTGACTAATGCATACATGATCGCATTTCGAACTAGTGTCGAAGTACATCATCAAAAACTGTTCATTCTATTTTTAGTTCTCATAAATTAATTCGCAGTCTAACAAACATTTTGAATAATGGAAGATCAAAAAATGCTCTAAATAATTTGCAATTTTATTACTTCACACAGATCTTTAAGTTCAAAAATGATGCATGATAAAAGCGATCATACAAATAACTCTAAAAGCAAATCCTAAACAAAACTTATAATGTCAAGAGATTTTCAGTCAATTAAATTGAAAAGTGAATTCTGAGGACGAAGTGTTAAACAATGTTTATTTTATTATGGTCAAAAGCACTTGGAAATAGATTAAAATTCTTACTTAACGATCTGTATTTTTTACAACTTTGAGAAACTTACGAATAAATTTTGAAAGTTGATCGGAGACATTTAATGAAATCCAAATGCAACATTGAACAAATTTTATCAACACTTTTTTTGTTTTGATATTAAATGGGAAAACCCACATGACGAGTAAAATTCTATAATTAACCTTTTCAATTCGGAATAAAAACCAGGAAAGCCACATGATGGACATACTGCAAAATCATTCGTAACCAAATGCATGCCCTACAAAATATAACCAATGTCAGATTCCTGCATAAAAAATGAAATTCAGATAAAATTTATAATTTTTGGATTTACTGGAGATAATTGAAGATTCTTACCGTCACAATGCAATAGGGAATCAAATTTTTGCATGATGCGCAAACAAGGATTGATTCTTCCGTTGGATTATCACAGTATGGACAACATGTCTTGGGCTCTTCTGGATCTGGTAATTTATCAGGTTTTCTACAATTTGAAAAACTGATTTTCATTTAAACGAACTGTAAGCACACTCATATTATATTTGAAGTTGGATGTTCATAAATGAACAGAGAAATATCATATTTTGTAAATGAAAAGTTATTGTATTAAAAAAACAATAATCTCAAGTATTCAATACGCCTAAATTAGTTGTCATTCATCGACTGATCATTCTACTTGTGTGTGTTTTATTCTTATAGTTTACTTATTAATTTTTTTTGCTTGAAATCTAAATTTATATTTTTATTTTCAAACTGAACAAAACTACCTTACAACAGCTTCAATTTTCTTACGATATTTCTCGTCAATACTTTTCCGATTGCAATCCTTTAAAAGTTCTACAGCAAACTTGAATGCTGATTGTTTGAGGCCTGCTTTAATACATTCAATAACACTCGTTGTAAGAATAGGTACAACATCTGTAACATAATACTTTGCAAGCAATGGTTATTTGCCATCTCTATGCTAATTCTTCATTTTCTTTTCCTTTTTTAGAAAGGATAATCTAATAGAGAAAATATCTAAGAATCCAAAATTACAAGGCAAGCAAGAAGGTCTTAACCTACACTGTGTAATACAGTTTAAATTACGAACTCAATGATGTCACTGTTTGATTCCATTGTTTACAATAATAATATCAAATTTATCGATTTTTCTAATGAGATATCACCCATAAATAATAATAAGTTACTAACGTGCTGGAAAATAGCTGATGCTATTGGCTACTCTTATTAACATACGTGCAGCTTTCATGTGTTCGCCACGCTTCACCAAACTCTATTTAAAGAAACATTTTAGATAATATTTTATGTTGAAGAAAAAAGTTTAAATTCACAAACAGTAACCTGAAATAATTAAAGTGTCAAAAAAGAAAGATAAGGATCAAATATTTGTCTCCTGTCTTATGCAAGTTTAACTTTTTTAAATAATATATCGAGAATTCTTTTGCATAACGGTTCTCCAACTTCTCGAAATAAATACACTGAGCTATTCAGAAAGCTATGGAATAGTTCAAACTCCTATCAGTTATTGATTTTTTTTATGGTACAATAATTGTTTATAAAATGAAATATTAAAAAACCATACCAAAGTTTACCTTGATTATGAGATAGCTATGCAGCAACATAAGATTGTTTTGCACCTCAAATGGCACCTTGATCCCTTCATTCTGTAATTCTTGATACATTCCAAACAATAGTTTATGTGCAGTTCGATATGAACCATTTGCCTGCTCTTCAGTAGCTATCACAACCGCTGTTTTTGCAGCTTCGCGATACATTTTCATTGAAATGTAGTATTTAAAGAGGAATTTTGGATTCTAAAAATTTAAAAATTACATTGCACAACTTCTTTTTTTTATATCTCAAGAAATACTGACAATAAATGTCAAATTTCAGGTTCTCTCACAAAACAGTAGATGAAATGTGATAAAACTTCAACATAACTTTTCACAGTTCAAAAATCAAACTTAAATTTACAAGTGCCACTGTTGAAATATCAGCACCAGTGCAGGTCACCTTCGAAAATAATATGCTTAATAATAAACTTTTCTATATCGTTAATAAAAGAACAGAAAAATGACACAATAAAAAAGTAAAAAGATAGGAAATTCAAAACATACCTTGGGAATGCCATCAGCTTCACCAAGCAAATAGTCAATCATACAAGAATTTAGGTTAGGATCTCGTGCTTCCACTACACATGCTATTGCCGTATTCATTGCCTGTGTATCTTCGCCGTTTGTAAGCAAGTAATCCAGTGCCTGGAATCACATCCATACAAATTCAGATACAAATTAATCATTTGCTGCAAATCATTACTTATTTTTAATAATTGGTTTTCATTCAACAAAAATGATCGATTTACGCTATTAAATTCGATTACAATTACTTTGAATTCTGGATGTTAAAATAATGTATAATATAGACTATGCCTTTTGCACAACCAAATTTTTGCTGGTTATAATATTAAATAAATAGACTTTTGGTATATACATCTTTTTTGCTATAGCTGTCAGAGTTATTTCATTGTGCTGTGACATGTTTTTTGATGAACATTGCCCAGGTGTTGGAATATTCTATGCATTCATAAAAATTAGTCGAAGAAGAGAAAGGCATAACTATTTTATAAATTGTCAAATCAAAGAAACAAATGTTCGCTTCTATTAGCTAGCACACAGAAAGAGATATTGTAATTCCTTTTTTTCTAGTTATTGTGGAAATAAAAAATATATCAAAACCTTCGAATATTGTCCAGCTTTGTAATAAAAAAACCCAGCCTTCTGAGAATTCATATTTTTTGCATAATAATCAGCCAACTGCAAAAATATATCCAACGTTCCATCATCTTCAACAGCATCGGCAAAAACATCCATCTTTTGTTCCATTTCTGCGAGATGAAAGGCTTCCTGAAACAGAAGTGACCGGAGGATAGATTAAAGAAAATGGTTGGTACTGTGAAAACTTATTCTTGGAGATCTCAATGGTAAACTTTGCTTGAACACATTTTTGCTGGATAATATTTCACTGCCATTATTATTTAGAGAAGTAGTTTCCATATTAAATTTTATGAATTAATTTTGCCAAACAATTTAAAAATCATACATTTTGAAATATTTTCTAAAACGAAGAATTGTAACAGTTACCTGTTGGCACTGAGAAAGTACCAAAAATTGAATAGCCGAATCTTGGTCTCCAAGTTCAGTGAAAAATCTAAAAAAGGGAACAGATCGCAAACTGTTAGAACAGCGGAGAACCGCACTATAATGGTTAGAATATTGAGCCAGAACTGCTAGCATGAAATTTGTATTTATTCCAAATAATTTGAATAGGGAAAAAAGAAAGGGGAATGTAGAAGGAACTCACTTTGCTACAAGTTTTGCTCCTTCAACGCTTCTGCTTTCTCGTACAATGCATACTGCTTCTTGAGGCTTGTTTAAATGTTCTAATAGAAG